TTTAAAAATGTTTTTTTTTTATCTACTAAATGAGTAGCTAGGATTGCGTCTCACGGTCTCACAAAATTAGGTCGTCTCACATGAACCTAACCCTATTATATAGATATATATATATATATTATATATATATATATATATATATATATATATATATATAAGTTATCCTCCAATAGTTTTTAAAAGGTTGGCATAAATGGTCCCTTGATTATAGCTTGTATTGTAGTTTAGGATTGTTTTTGGTATACAGGTCTTCTATGGAAATAATTGTATTCTCTCTATATCTGTTGGTCATCGTCGCTGGTCTGTCACTGTATAGTAAAAACCCTTTTGGGAGCTTTGAAAAGTGAGAAATAATAAGGGATAATGACTTGAAAGGGTATCGAACTTTCTAATTTGTTCACATTTAGTCACTAAACTTTTTTTCATTATCTATTTGCCACTGAACTATTGAAACTATTCACATGTTACCCTTATGACCGGTAACAACTGGTCATAAGGGTAAAATGTGAACAGTTTCAATAGTTCAGTGGCAAATATATAATGAAAAAAAGTTTAGTGACTAAATGTGAACAAAATTGAAAGTTTATTTCCTTGTCAAAAAAGTTTAATGACTAAATATGAACAAACTTTCCTCTTGTATTATGGTTTAGCAAATTATGTATTTTTGTTAAATTTTTACAACATTTGTTGATGAAGAAATCTATGAAATACAAAAAAAAAAAAAAACAAAAAAAAAACAAAAAAACACAACTCCGAAAAAGGTATAAAAAACGAAAAACGAAACCAATATTATATGTATAAGTTTTATGTTATGAAACTATGCAATATTATATGTATAAAAGTTATCCTAATATTATATGTATGAATTTTGTGTTATAAAATTATGCAACACATAAATTGACATACATTAAACCACATACGTTGTTTATAAAAGAATACATACATACATTGATACATTACATATGTTGTTATAATCCATGTATTGATATACATCATATTAGTATATTTACTATTAAAAAGGATAACGAAAATAAAAGTCAAGTTGTTTAGAATTTAGACATTTTTAATTTACTCAGACAATTTATTTATATTTGAGATTGTATTTTCTTAAAAAGTTTGAATAATTATTGAAATTTATAATTATTTAACTAGACATATATAGTTAAGTAAAATCGTTAACATCTTTTATGAAGTGTTGCACCCAAACCACCCAATCCATATTACCTTTACAAAAATATTTATTTTTAGAAAAAAATAGCGATATATTTAACAATTAAAATGACACTATGGGTGAGAATGGTTTATTTTTTTGTTAAACCAAAATCAGATTGGAAATTTTGATTTTTAATTTTGGAAAATACCAAACTATTGGTTTTTTTATTTTGGTTTTGGTTTTTCGTTTTTTTAATATATTTTTTGGGGTTTTTTTTATTTCATAGATTTCTTCATCAACAAATGTTGCTAGAATTTAACAAAAATATTTTTTTTTTGCTAAAACATAAGAGGGAGTTTAAGCATTAAACTTTTTTTAGAGGGAAACAAACTTTCACTTTTGTTCATATTTAGTCACTAAACTTTTTTTCATTCTTTATTTGCCACTGAACTATTGAAACTGTTCACATTTTACCTTTATGACCGGTTGTTACCGGTCATAAGGGTAAAATGTGAACAGTTTCAATAGTTCAGTGAGAAATAAAGAATAAAAAAAAATTTAGTGACTAAATGTGAACAAAATCGAAAATTCGTTACCCTTTCAAGTCATTATCCCAAATAATAAAGAGCAAGCCACCAAGAACAGATATCACAAGAGTTATTTCAAGTCATTATCCCAAATAATAAAGAGCAAGCCACCAAGAACGGATATCACAAGAGTTAGCAGCCTCGGAATGAAAGAGACTTTGCTTTCCACTTGTATATTAGGGATAATGACTTGAAAGGGTAACAAACTTTCGATTTTGTTCACATTTAGTCACTAAATTTTTTTTCGTTGTCTATTTGCCACTGAACTATTGAAACTGTTCACATTTTACCCTTATGACCGGTTGTTACCGGTCATAAGGGTAAAATATGAACAATTTCAATAGTTCAGTGACAAATAGATAATAAAAAAAGTTTAGTGACTAAATGTGAACAAAATCAAAAGTTCGTTTCCCTCTAAAAAAAGTTCAATGACTAAATGTGAACAAACTTCCTATTGTATTATGTTTTAGCAAATTGTTTATTTTTGTTAATTTCTACCAACATTTGTTGATGAAAAAATCTATAAAACAAAACCCCGAAAATATACTTAAAAAAACGAAAAACCGAAACCGAAATAAAAAACCAATGGTTTGGCATTTTCCAAAATAAAAAATCAAAATTTCCAATCTGATTTTGGTTTTACAAAAAAAAAGAACCATTTTCACTGATGTGAATTATGACCATTGGTTTGGAGATGCATTCGATTATGAAAGGTGTTTACAAAAAAAGGATCTAGATCTAAATCTACATAATTAACACACACTAACACTCTCAATGTTACATCTCTCAAGTACACATCTACATGTGGTATGAACCCACCTTATATAGAAGTGTTTACATGTCTCTCTCTCTCTATCTCTCATGTCACAAGGGGGAGTTTTGGATAGAAAAATTCTGAATTGAGCGCTTTCTCATTCCCTTTTTGGTTTTATAATCATTTTTCGATTATAAAAAGGGGAAGAGATTTAGATATAGAAATCCGAAAGTAGAATTTTTGTAAAACCAAAATCGGATTGGAAAATTGTGATTTTTTATTTTGGAAAATACCAAACCATTGGTTTTTATTTCGATTTCGGTTTTTCGTTTTTTATTATATTTTTCGGGATTCTGTTTTTTCTTATTTAATAGATTTCTTTATCAACAAATGTTGCAACAATTTAACAAAAATAAATAATTTGCTAAAACATAATACAAGAAGTAGTTTGTTCACATTTAGTCATTGAACTTTTTTAAAGGGAAACGAACTTTTGATTTTGTTCACATTTAGTCACTAAACTTTTTTTCGTTATCTATTTGCCACTGAACTATTGAAAGTGTTCACATTTTACCCTTATGACCGGTAACAACCGGTCATAAGGGTAAAATGTGAACGGTTTCAATAGTTCAGTGACAAATAGATAACGAAAAAAAGTTTAGTGACTAAATGTGAACAAAGTCGAAAGTTTATTACCCTTACAAGTCATTATCCATGCATATATTAACATGCCACGTCTATTTTACTTGTTTCAGTTTTTGAGCCGATTTTGGGGGTGTTTGGGATAACTTTTTCAGCTCAAAAGTCATTTTTATAAAAATACTTTTTGTAAAAGGTCTTTTTCCAAAAGTTATGGTTTAAAATGTGTTTGGATGGTAAAAAGACAAAAGTTGATTTGAAGAAGTACAAAAATCCCAAAAGTCCTAAAAGTCATGTTTTTGTGACTTGTTATTGTCATTGTAGCCCAACAATGTTTAATATATTTGTTTAAAAGGTCCCTCGTGACTGTTTTTTTGCCTTTTAGGGGTACGAACTTGTGTTTTACTGTTTTAAAAGGTCATTATAAAAAATGTGAAGGGGTCACCCGGTTAACCCCTTCCTAATGATCAGTTGTAAAATGCCACGTAATGTCACGTATATTAAAAATAGTCCAAGTCGATTGCCACATGGGTGTAATTAAATTGACCTAAAGAATTGGTTAACTTGAAACATGGTGGATGAGATTAGACCCAACTGAGAAGACCCATTAAATATACAAATATCCACCCAGAAAATTGGTTTGACATAGTGAAGAACACCATCTACATCTCATTCATCATACCTCCATTTGGGAGTTCATTTCTTCTTGAAATCCATTGAGAAAACCCCTTCGATCTGTTGTAACTGTAACCAACATTTCATTATCTTCTGTCACAGACGAATTCAAATCAAAATGGTTCTTGAAATTCTTGATTTCTGCATCTGTTTCTTCCCCAACAATCTGTGTCTCGTCGATTACATCATCCCAAGCTACATTGATGTCGATCCCTCTTTTTTCAATTGATGCAGAGGTCGAAACAACAGAAGAAGCATCATTTTTTCAAAAGTTCCCAAAAACTGGAAACCATAATAGCTTTTTATTTTCTTTCTTCTTTGCTACATCACCATTTTTACAGATACTCGGTTCAAATTTAAGCAATGGAAACACAATTTGATCACATTTTCTTGAATCGTCTTCATTATCAGACAAAATCTGAATAGTATTTAAGTCAATACCCTTAGTAGTAGTATCTGTTAAATCTATAAAGTTTGAACCTTTAAATTTCTTTTGGGACTCATCACCAATCTTTTTTGCAGTTTCGATAATCAAATACTTTTTTTGACCCATATGAAGACCTGTGAAGAAACTGGTCTCCATAACACCCGTTTCCTGTAGTAGATGATAGAAACGAAGGGTATTTTTGTAAATTGCTAGTCAAGCTATGTGAGGTACTGATAAACGGGTGTGAATTTGGGTTCTAAGTCTTCCCATCTGGCAACATCTGTAGTTGCAGGAGCGGATACGAGAGCAACTTCAGAGCTCCATATCTTACATGATATCTCGAAAGTGATATGGGCGCACTTGAAGACATATTCGTTGACAGAACAAATCTTACAGAGAACGTTTCGGCACTTCTTCTTCAATCTTTAAAGTTTCTCAATTAATTGATTCTTATTGAAATCCAACTGCAATTTATTCATGGGTGATGGAACAGGTTTTGTGGGGGTGTTGGTGGAAATAAATGACAGTCATTAATACCTGATCATTAATCACTGCACATGTGGAGTCGAATCAGTAGCGAGTCTGTGTTGACTCACAAGCTGAGTTGGCGATGAAAAGGCATGGTTACCTCCTAAAATGGGTAAAAGTACATTTTAAAACGGTAAAACACAAGTTTGTACCCCTAAAAGACAAAAAAAAGTCACGATGGACCTTTTAAACCAATATACTAAACATTGTTGTTCTGTAGTGACAATAACCCTTGTAGTGACAATAACCCTTATGACTTTTGAAATCAACATTTTTTCCTCCTATTAGTTGTTTAAAAAGAACTTTTTAACTTAGACAAACATTTTTGGACTTTTTGACTTTTCTGAAAAGTGAAAAGTCAAAAAGTTGTTTTTAAAGCATTCCCAACCACCGTCTTCAAATTTTTACAATGTTGGTGCTCTTAGATACGTCATTTGAAGGTTATGTTATAGACAAAGAACATTTTATTGTTTGTAAAGGATTGGTAACATTGGACTAAACCAGAGTTTCTACAAACCATTTTATGTTGGATTTCTTATCTTATTAACTTGTTAGACTATTTGTTTACTATGAATTTTTCTATTCCGTCCAATTAACTTAATTACAAACTTAATTTCCAAATCTAGAAAAGATTCCCTAGCGTTGCCGGGATCGGAAAATATTGTTTTGTAAAGTAAAATAGCATGTTGATTGCTTTTTGTCCGTTAATGTGAGGGTAATTTGGTCTTTTCAGGTAGTAGGGACTGAATTTGTCACCATGGGTAAACCATATAGACCATTTATGTAATTTTGGCGGTGGTGGTGGTGGTAATGGCAGATGGTGGATGAGTTTATGGTAATGTGTGGATAAATCTAAAAAAAAATGTTAAATCTGGTAAACCACAGGGACGAATCGTGTAATTTTGTCTAACAATAATAATAATAATAATAATGAGAGACCATTTCTGCCAAAAAACTAAATACTAATAATATGTAATAAAAAGCAAATGTTATAAAAAATTCAAACCAAAATGAAAAGGTTGTTTGTGAACAAAAGCATAAAAATGAAGGGTCAATGTTATAAGTTGGAGAACCAAAATTAACAAAAAATGTGGGTAGGTTTATAGTATTGTATGGGTAAAACCAAAAAGAAAATGTTAAATCTGGTAAATCACATGGACGAATCGTGTAATTTTGTCTAACAATAATAATAATAATGAAAGCGCATTTCTGCCAAAAAAACTAAATACTAATAATATGTAATAAAAGGCGAGGGTTATGAAAAATTCAAACAAAAGTGAAATGGTTGTTTGTGAACAAAAGCATAAAGATGAAGGGTAAATGTTGTAAGTTGGAGGACCAAAATTGATGTCGGATGTCGATTAAAATCTTTTATAACTTTAATATATATAAAATAATAAGATCTAACACAAAATATGCAGTTAAAAGCAAGAAAGAGCAACAAACTTTTTATTTAAGATCTAAAACAAAAAATTTTCTATTCAATTAAAAAAGTTTTGATAGATGTCCTTATTGCTTACTATACCAGCTTCAAAAACTATTAAGTCTCAGCAAGTATGAAGAGCAAAAGATATTGATTTCCGACCAGATTAACACCTTCCTTCTCATAAATATATTCAGAAAGAGGTTGCCTGAATTTCCGATCGATAAACATAAATTTCTTTAGAAATCCGTAGAAATCAAGAAGCGAAAAAGGGGTCTAAGATAGTCGTTCATGTTAGAAAAATAAACATGAACGCTAAGATCTAACTTCAAATTAGACAACAAACTTGCAAACCGAAGAGCTATAAGAAGCAAATCAATTAGAAGCGAAGTTCAACAAAACGATACGTATTAGGAAAAGAAAAAGGCTCAGAGAGTTGCTTAATGTGCTCAACGAACAGCATCTTTCGAGACTGTTCTCATACAAGAGGTGTCAGAATATAAGCATCGATCGTCACAGCCATTCGTTTCTCGAATCATAAATCAAAATCAATAAACACAGAATTCAACCAAATCAAAATAATCATATTAAATAGATCACCTGAAGAATGAATGATTCGAAAGAGCAACCCAACAGTTGATTTATAGAGCGAACGGAGGCGTATGCGACGGCCATCAACGGTGATTCTAGGGTTCCATTGTTAGCAATTTTTTAGAGGCCCTTTGAATTATGACATAAAGGCTTTATCAAGGCCCAATATTATCCATAGTGAGCCACAGGTTAAAACTCAAAATAAAAAAAACGTGTAGAACGGGTCAAATTGTTTGGGTTGTTTTTGAGTAATTGATATAGATATTTAATACTAATTAGGTAATTGTATACGTAAAAGCTTTTAATTAAATTTGGTCGCCAATTGGTTAATTGAATATATATATATATATATATATATATATATATATATATATATATATATATATATATATATATCTATATATATATATATATATGCTTAGGTTATTCTATTCAAAGTAATTATTGTGTTATTGTATGCATAAATATGGGTCAATCATTTTACTTACTTTAAGAAAGTGATTAATACATATTATTGAATTAAATGTAATTGAAAAATACCATCCAATTTAACTAGAAGGGTATTTTAGTCAATTAATATATATTTAATAAAGGAAATTTGCATATTTTAAGGGATCATAGATTCTATTAATTTTAAAAATCTGATTTTTACTAATTATAAGGTTTTTAATTCGGACATTCTGAAAGAATATGATTGAGTATGTTCAAAAATAAAAATATTCTATAACAATAAAATAATAAAAATATTCTTGAACATATTTCTTGATCATGACTTTAAAAATTTCTTGTAAAATAACAAATCCTCGAACCAACAATTGAATAATTAAAACAAAAATTACATTAATTCTTATAGAATACATGTAATAATTGTTAAGAATTACATTTATTGTTAAAGAATAAAACTAAAAAAATTTCAAATCGGGAAAAAAACATCAAAATCTAACAAATACACTAATTCATTCTAAAAGAATAATGTTGCTAAGAAACACTTTTAATTTTGTTGTCCGTTCTTCAAGCATCAACTTCTTCAAACATCAACTTCTGTGAAATCAAATCCAATTGTAGTTTAAAATCCAATAACGCATTAGCAAATGATAAATAAAAAATTATATTCCTTTGGAAAAATATGCGGACTTGTTAGCTGCACCAAAACCAATAACCAAAAATTGTAGAACATGTATAATCAATGAGAAAAAAAAAATCCATATTCCATTCCAACATAATTAGAATTCGTGTTTCCATTCCGATAGAATTTGAATTCGTGATTCTATTCCGATAGAATTGGAATGGTATAAAATATACAAACCGATTTAATGCTTCTAGAACATCAGAAGGGGCGAGATTAAGATCATCAAGAACTCATGTCACCTTTGATGTGTATATCATTTTCCCAGTCTCCCCCATCAGTTTACATCAAGAAAATAGGATTCGACTTATAAAAAAAGGAAAACGAATTGGATCTTACAATGTTCTAGAAATCCCCGAATCCAGTTCTCTTTTAAAACACATGTGTTATTTTTTAATAGAAAGTATTTATACTTGAAAAATCACGCGTGTAGATCCTTGTCTGAGTTCCACACTGGTGGTTTTGGAGGACTTGCCTCATTTGTCACACTACCTCCATTTTCCACACTTACTAGAGGATTGTCAAAAATGTACCTGAGAAAACTGTGATGATGGTTCAATGGGTTTTGGCTGTGTATCAGGAGTACAGAAGTAAGAATAAAACACCATACCCACAACAGCAATTAGGATTCCCAAAATGTTTCTCCAACTAAAAGGATCGTGTAATAGAAAATATCCAAATGCCAAAACTAGACATGTTTTCAGGTGACCTAACACCTGATAAGTCACCGGAGATGTTTTTCCGATCGAAGTTGACAGACACCGATATTAAGCAAGACAGAATAATGAATGCCTGAAATTTATACAGAAAAATAGAATTAATGATTCCAGTTTGTGTGAAATATGGAACACTGAAACTGGCTTATAACATTATACAGAAAGACTATTTTAACCTTACCAGAACTTGATTTGTGTATTTGAAAGCGAAAACATTTTGATTGGTCAAAAGGGCATCTAGAAATGGAACGATGATGAACAGGATAAGAGCTTGGAAACATTTTTTTACCTGTCGTTGATCGGGACTGCCAAAACAAGGGGGAAACACCGGGATTGTCGAGCAAACACCACTGAGATCTCTATTTGATTCCTTGTTCTAACCGAGAACTTTTTCTGACTTCTTCATCTAACCCTCCCTGCTTCGCACTTCAAAGCCGCAGAGGACGAAAGCAGCCCCGCTGCTTCGCCCCACGTCCTTCTTCGATCTAGACGACCATCGGAGCACGTCATTCGGGTGCAATGGGTCTGCAATCATCGGACATCCCTCGCACCTCGATCTCGCTCTTTATCAATCACTATCTCTATTTCTCAGTTATGGAATAAAAAAACGGAAGGACGGGGATGGTTGTGGTCGTCGACAATAAAGATGATGGTGGTGGTCAGTAGCCGATTGGATGGTCGGCGTGAAGGAGTCTTCAACCGGTGATGAATTCATCAGATCAGTCTATAAAATGGGGGAATTAGGTTAACATCAACGTAACTAGCAAAATTATAGGGAGTATTTGTGGAAGTTATTTATCAAATTACCTAGTTACCCTTATTGATTTATTTAATTATTGTTTTTTCTATTAAATTTTGATTGGCCACATTTATGCATACAATAACACAATAAATACTTTAAACACCTGAACCTATCTCTCTTTCTCTCTCTCTCTCTCTCTATATATATATATATATATATATATATATATATATATATAATATATATATATATATATATATATATATATATATAATCTTTTACCAAAATTAGGTTGCAAAATAGTTGATTCAACAAATTGGAAGACAGATGAAGTAGATAAAATTTTCAGATTGGCGATAGCTATTTCGTCCAACCAATTTGATAATTGACATTAGGGATGAAGGTTTTGACCGAAAATCCAAACCGGAATCGGTACCGGTTGGCACCGAATTAGGTAAACCTGTCCAATTATCGGTTCTTACTTTTCTTTTTATTTGGTATTTGGTTATATCGGTTTCGGGAATATCAAGGCGTAAAAGGCTTTTAGTTTTTACCCTTGGATCACATACGATACGGAAACACACCCCTGGCGTGATCGATTTCATGTCGACTCGACCGTTCCTTCCTCTCCAAGATGTAATCAAGAAAAAATGGAAATATACAATTCATATGGTCGTTTTTGTTCTTGGAACTTGTAACTCGAAATGAATATATCAAAAATAAGCCAAGTAAATATGCTCATATTATATAGATTTGTTATGTACTTACTCCCAAACCAAGCTTACATATGTTGTTGGAATTGGAACCAATACTCCTTATGTACTTGGAATCGATATTGTAAAATAGGGATGAGCGAAGGAACCGATCCGACTGGAACCGGCCTCGGAACCGAACTTGGTGGAAGATAGGAACCAAACCGGACCGTCGATTCTACCGGTTCTTGTCGTGTCTTCAAATGTTGTAACCGGTCCTCGAGAAATAGCAACATACGGTTCCGGTTTTTGCCAGTTCTACTGGTTCCGGTTCCTACCGGTTATCGGTTCTAAAAATCTACAAGAATATCGTCCCGGTCCCGGTCTGACCTGTAACATCCCGTTAAAAATAGAATGATTAATTAATAAACCCGAAACCCCGATAAGTAAAATTTATTATTATTTTATATTATTATTGTCCAAAATAAAATAATAATTAGTGGGGTGTTGGTTTCGGGAAGCCAAATGACAAGATATGAATCTCCGGGGGTTAAAGTGTAATGTCGGGATTTATTTTGAAAAAGATTTCAGAAGTTGGGATGTCTTTGGTATCATTCGGACTTAGTTTGTAAGGATTTTTAAAAGACAGGGACTAAAGGAGTGAATTTCGGAGTCAAGTTGAAAAGACTCTTATGGGGAGGGACCAAATGTGTTAATATGCACATGTTTGATGGTGGACACGGGTTGAACCCGTCACCCTCTTTCATCCTACATATATATTCATAATACACCCCATACAAACCCTAACCCTAATTGAGATGACAGCCGCCACTACCCTCCTTCTCCAACTCCGGCGCCGCACCACCACCAGTTCCTCTCGTGTTTCCGACCAACGAAGACAAACGGTGCCACCCATCGAAGCCAACCGACGGTGCTGTTCCAGCGACCCTTGTCGTTGACTCCATTCCACAGCAGGTGGTTGTTGCCGCTGCGCCGAAACCATTGAAGAAGTGACTGTTATCGTCGCCGTCGGTCGTAGCGTCGTTGTTGTTGCCGTTGTTGACTGTTCTAACGAGATGGCGGCAGCGCTCGTGGCTTGTGATACAGATGCTCGGGTGTGTGGGTTTCCGGTCGAGTAAAAAGCCATGAAGAACCACCATGACAGTCGGCCATGGTGGCAACCTCCGAAGACGAAGCTGTTACCGTTGTTGCCCGCCTTATTGTGTCACCATCGCCGTTGTATGCCACCAGGTGGGTGGCTGGACTCCTTCTACGAACAGAAGGGTGTGTGTGTGTGTGGGTGATGCATGACCGGAAAGCATAAGAGGGCCACCACCACCACTGTAAGGTGGTGGCTAGCACCTCCGACCACCACCTGCCGCCATAGAGCGGCTGTGTGTGTATATAGTTTAGTGTGTGTGTGTGTGTGTGTTATTTGAGATTTTCATTGTAAAACTGTAATAGGGTAGGAATAATCAAAAGAAAAACTCAAAAACTATCACCGTGTTGGGTGGTGGCTGCCGCCTCCTGCCGCCGTCAGCCGACGTGTTGGGTGCCGGTGTGCTTAGTTATGTTTTGATTGCTTTTAGAGTACTTGGACATGTTTGGAGTAGAACCCTAATCACCACCACGAGGTGGTGGCCGCCGTCGTTGACTACCTCTACCCGAGGTGGTAGTGGGTGGTGCCCAACTAATGAAACCCTAGTGGGCCTAATGAAACCCTAATGGGCCCAGTGAAGCCCTGATTGACCTAAAAGCCCAATCATGTTACTAATGGGCTAGTATTGGGTTGGAAACCCTAATTGGGGTTTGGAAAACCCTAATGTCATGAAACCCTAATTTTGGGGATTGATCGGGACATGCACGAGAATTATTTA